GCGTCAGTGGAGGGCGAGGAGGAGAGATGGTCAGAGGCTGCGTGCATTGTGCGAGTGTCAAGACTGTCGTGATGATGGGTTGATATCCGAAGTAAAGCGGTATACGAGGAGGTATGCTGAACTGAAAGGCTATGTTGAGGTCTCTGGGTATCAAAAGTAGTTGCCATCGTCGCAGGATGTCCCTTTTATACCACCTTGACGATGTCCTGGTGCCCTGATGAAGTCTGGCTCGACAAGACGAAAATCCCGGTTTCCTCTAAATTAACTTGCTCTCGGCCAAATCCACAGTAGCGATGAACCCACGCCAGCACATCTACCGCCCAAGCCGCCATCCCGAGCGACACCAGCGTGGCTGGCTCTCAGGTAGAGAGCTGGTGACGAGCACTGCATAGGAAACAACTCTCACGAACCTCCACTTCGGCCGAGACATGACCAGCCCAAGAGGGAAGCAAACACGGAGCAGGCTCCGAGCCATCGATTCATGGTCAGGTACGTGGCCATGGTTCCTAGTAATCCCCCCTGCTCGTCCCCCGCAATCTATCCGGCGGTTGCCGTGACGCGCGAGGGGAGAGGGAGCCGCCATTGTGGCTGCATCGGGATATTGATCGGCAGGCTGGCGGTTCGAAATTGAGTGAGCCCAGACGGGCGGGCGAAGTGCGCTGCGAGACTCTGGGCGGCCGAGGCATGCGCGGGGAATAGTATGATAGCATGGGTCGAGGGCTGACGATGTGATGTTCTTAAGCTTCACCTGTACCATGGGCCACCGGTCTCTACCTTCCTCTTCGAACGCGACGATGCCTCACTAGATCGTGGCCGTGTTGATGTCCACCCGACATACCTCCGGGGTCGCGGCGTGCTACCGGCCGCTAGGGCCGAACATTCAGGTCCAAGCTCGACTTTGCCGTACGTTGGTTACCACGAGCAAGCTCCAAACATGTGACAACAGATCAAACCATGATATTTCTACTTCTTTTCGTCATTATTGAACATCTCATCATCATCCCGCGTTACTCATTTCACCACGTCAGCCTCAACGCCTGCCGCCACGGCCCATACCCCCTACCAGCGCGCTCCTGGCTGCGGTTACGGCTTCGGTTGCGTTCCTGGCTGCGGTTGCGCTCCCGGCTGCGGTTACGTTCGCCGCTGCGGTTGCGCCCGTGCCCACTACCATAGCTCTCTTCCTGACGGCCGCCGTAGCTCTCTTCTTGGCGCCCTCCGTAACCACCGCCGCCGCCACCGCCGTAGCTGCTCTGTTCCTCACGACCACCGTATCCAGAGCTCTCCTGACGGCCGCCGTAGCTGCTCTCCTGGCGACCTCCGTAGCTGCTCTGCTCTTCACGGCCACCATAGCCAGAACTCTGCTGACGGCCACCGTAGCTGCTCTGCTCCTCACGCCCCCCATAGCTGCTCTCTTGGCGGCTGCCATAGCTGCTCTCCTGGCGGCTGCCGTAGCTGCTCTCTTGGCGGCTGCCATAGCTGCTCTCCTGGCGGCTGCCGTAGCTGCTCTCCTGCTGACGGCCACCGTAGCCAGAGCTCTCCTCACGGCCGCCGTAGCTGCTCTCCTGCTGACGGCCACCGTAGCCAGAGCTCTCCTCGCGGCCGCCGTAGCTGCTCTCCTGCTGACGGCCACCGTAGCCAGAGCTCTCCTCACGACCACCATAGCTGCTCTGCTCCTGGCGACCACCGTAGCCAGAGCTCTCCTGGCGTCCGCCGTAGCTGCTCTGCTCCTGGCGGCCTCCATATCCAGAGTTTTCCTGGCGTCCGCCGTAGCTGCTCTCCTCTTGTCGACCACCGTAACTGCTTTGCTCCTGGCGACCGCCGTAGCCCGAAGAACTACCCTGGTACTCGTGGCGCTCGGTGCGCTGCTCATAACCGCCGCCCTGCGATGGCCGCGTCTCAGTCTTCTCCTCGTAGCCGTGGCCGCTTGTGCGCCCACCAGACTGTTCTTCCTGCTCGTACTTCTTGTACTCGGTACGGCGACCACCGTCAGGGTACTGGGTCTCCGTTTTTTGCGCTTGAGCATACTTGTTGCCAGAGTGACCGTATTCGGTCTGGGTCTGGGTGTACGAGCCATCGTTGTTCTTGTGGCTAGAGGTAGTCTTCTCCTTCTCATCGTTACCGAAGACCTCGCCGAAGATAGACGAAGCAGCGCCGAGCAAGCCTCCTGCGCCAGAGCTCTGCTTCTCCTCCTTCCGCTCAGGCTGCTTGTACGAGGGTACCTTGACGCCAGTCGTCTGCTCAATGATGCCAGAGATGGCACCAGTAGCACCCGTGATGATGGCGCCAGCCGCCTTGTCGGCAACCTTGTCTTCCCACGTCTCGGGCTTGCCGCCGAATTGCTTGTGCATCTGGAGCTTGCCGTTGCAACCGTGGCCGTGACCAGTGTCGTGAACACCAGGCTTGTGGTTCTCATTGTTCTTCACGCCATCACGGCTTAGCTTGCGGCGGTAATCGTCTTGGCCCTGGCGGCCAAGGCCCTCCCACCAGTTCTCAATGGAACCAAAGATGACCTTCCTGCCCTCGCTGATGCCGTCGTTGCCCTGGTCACGCTGAGCGGGGTGGTGGAAAACACCATAAATGATGCGGGTCAGGGTCTGGTTGACGTCGATGTTCTCGTCATCAATGGCAGACATGATCTGGGGAACAACCCAGCGAATCATCTCAGAGGCGGTGCGGCCAGCGGGCTCGTTCAGAAGCTGTAGACGTTAGTAAACCATACTATGGATTTGTGCTGCGACCGGCAAGAGGCTGTGTGCTTACGTTGGTGAAGTGATCCTTGGAGAGCATGGAGTGAGTGGGGTCGGAAGACCGGTTGTCGTTGAAGACAATGTGCTGCTCACGCTCGCTGCTCTCCACGATCTCCTGCGATCCAGTCTTCATCTCGTTCTGGATCTGGTGAATGACAGGCAGAATGAACGGCGCAAGATTCGTGTACACGAACTTGGTCATCTGCTCCTCCAGCTGCTCGAGAATCTTGGGAAGAACGGGAATCTTCTCAAACTTTTCCGAAATGCTCTGCATGATATCATCGTGGAACTCAAGCAGAGGCATGATCTGCTTGAAAATGTCCTGTACGTAACGAGTGAACTCCTCGGGGTCGCGGGGCGACACCTCCATGTTCTGCATCTGAGACGAGTTGCAGTTCTGTTGGATCTCGTCAACCCGGTCGCTCTGATGCTTTCCTCCAAAGATGCCGT